AAAAAAAAAAAAAAAAAAGAAAAGAAAAGAAAGAAAAAGAAAACTATAAAGAAAAATAAAACAAGGAAGAGAGAGTACAGAAACAGTGTAAAAAGGTTTAGGATTTTGAATAAGGCGATGAGGAAGACTCTACTGACAAAGTAACATTTGAGTCACTGATCTGAAGGAGGTAAGGGAGGGGTCCATGTGAACATCTGGGAAGGAGCAAACCAAGCAGAGGGAACACAAAGTGTGAAGGTCAGGGAACTGGGATGGTGCCTGGTGTGTTGGAGGAATAGGAGGAAGTCAGTGTAGCTTGTGAGTGAGCAAGTGAGTAAGGGGTTGAGGAAGAGATAATGAGGTTGGAGAAGTGATGGGGCCAGATCACTAGGGCCTTCTAGGATGGGTGGGGATGAAAACTTAGGCAAAACAGTAGCAGAGAAAGCAGGAGTGTGGTGAGATTCGGCAGCCAGAAGTAGAGCTTCAAAAAGAAGTGTGGTGAGACCTCATGAGGAAGAGAAGGCCAGAGGAAGGGCCCTGGGACCTATTTAGTGCTAATTATGTGCTAGGCACTGTTCTGAGCACTACTTGTACCATCTCATTTAATCTTCATAGCAACTGTATTAGTCAGCTAATGCTGCATAACAAGCTCAAAAAAAAATTCTCAGTGACTTACTCAGCCAGCTTTCTCACACATCTGTGAGTTGACTGGCATTTGGGTGATCTTGACCTAGGTCATTAAGCACTTCCCACATGCTGAGCATTTTTCTAAGTACTTTTTGTTGATTTATTTAATTCTCCCAACAGCCCTAGGAAGTAGGTACTTTGATCCTCCCATTTTACAAATAAAGAAACTAAAGTTCAGAGAGGCTAACTTTTCCACCCAACTCTCACAGTTCATTTGTGGCACAGCTGGGAGGGATGTCCAGGATACTGGGAGGCGTGGGAGCAGGCTCAACCTTCTCAGCCTCAGTCTTGACCCCTTTCTTTGACCCCTTTCTTCCTCCCCAGGTGGATGGTGAACACTGCCGGCTGCCCTGGGTACTGCCGGGGGGCAGGGCCTGGGCCACGTTGGAGGGCCGCCACGTGGTGGTGCACACTGCCTGTGGGCTGCATATCATGTATGACTGGGGCAGCCAGGTGCGCCTAACTGTGCCTTCCACCTTCCACGGCCAGCTGGTGGGGCTCTGTGGGGCCTTTGGTGGCCAAGTTGGCCCCCTTGATCTGCCTCTAGACACAAGATCCTGGTCCAGGGGCCTGGTCACTAACCCCTGCCCACTGCCCCAGCCCAGTCTTGGCTTTAGCATCAGCTGCCCCACACAACTTGCCCAGATCTTCAATGCTCCCAAACTGTGTAGACTCCTACAGGCACCAGATGGTCCCTTTGGCCGCTGCCTGGGCCATATCAGCCCCAAGGCTTTCCTCAGGATATGCCTGCAAGATGTATGTCATACCCATGGTCAGGACCTTGGTCTCTGTGATGCCCTCACAGCATATACTGCCGCCTGTCAGGAAGCTGGCATCCCTGTGAAGCTTTGGAGGGGACCCAAGCTTTGCCGTGAGTGCTCTGGCTGGGTGTGGGTTGCCTCCGGGGCAGGTTGAAGGCAGCAGGAAGAGCCCCTTCTCCTGATGGGGATCAGAGCAGTCCTGATGTAGATGGAATTGGCTAAGCAGTGTTGGGGGGAAGGGCATCCAAGGGAGAGAATACTGGAATTTCAAAGGTGTGGAAGTTGAAAAATATCAGTGGGGGGGCACCTGGGCGGCTCAGTCGGTTAGGCTTCTGACTTCAGCTCAGGTCATGATCTCATGGTTTGTGAGTTTGAGCCCCACATCGGGTTCTGTGCTGACAGCTCAGAGCCTGGAGCCTGCTTTGGATTCTGTGTTTCCCTCGCTTTCTGCCCCTCCCCCACTCACACTCTGTCTTTCTGTCTCTCAAAACTAAATCAATGTCTTAAAAAAAATTTTTTTTAAAGCAGTGGGAAGTTGGGGCGCCTGGGTGGCGCAGTCGGTTAAGCCTCCGACTTCAGCCAGGTCACGATCTCGCACTCCGTGAGTTCGAGCCCCGCGTCAGGCTCTGGGCTGATGGCTCAGAGCCTGGAGCCTGTTTCTGATTCTGTGTCTCCCTCTCTCTCTGCCCCTCCCCCATTCATGCTCTGTCTCTCTCTGTCCCAAAAATAAATAAACGTTGAAAAAAAAATTTTTTTTTAAATAAAGCAGTGGGAAGCTAGCCTGACTGGGGCAAGAGGCAATAGGACTGGAGAGGGAAACTTGAGTCCTAAGCACCAGCCTTTGCCATCCACCTGCAGCTCTGACTTGTCCGCCTCGGAGCCACTACAGCATCTGCACACGGACCTGTGATGGGGGCTGTGTCCAGCCTACCAGCCCTGCTCACTGTTCTACCCAATGCTATGAGGGCTGTGAGTGTGACCCTGGATTCATTTTTGACGGCACAGACTGTGTGTCTCAGGACCACTGCGGCTGCTTTCACAGTGGACGCTACATCCCTGTAAGAGAGGTCCCCAGGCATGGGTGGGTGGGTGCAAAGTTTCCCATATCTTGTCATAAAATGTTCCCCAGGGGCACCTGGGTGGTTCAGTTGGCTAACCATCTGACTTCATCTCAGCCCAAGTCTTGATCTTGGGATCGTGATTTGAGCCACACATTGGGCTCTGTGCTGGGCATGAAGCCTACTTAAGAAAAAAAAAAAAAAGTTCCCTGGACCACACTATATCAGTCAGCATTTGCCATTGTAAATGAAGAAAATGATGCCAAGTATCTTAAATACAACAAGGAACATACCTACCTTTAATTGTTTAAATCTGAGGCTTTCACGCATGGCTGGATTCAGGGACTCAAGTGATGTCACTAGAACTCAAGTTTCTTTCTGTCTTTCATCCCTGTCTTTTCCTTTTTCTATGATAGCTTCTATATCAAGTAGGCTCTAGGTCCAAATGCTATAACAATCTCAAAATTACAGTGGCTTAAATTTGATAGAAGCTTATTTCTCTCTCATGAACGGTCCAAGAATAACCAGCTTGGCTCATCCAAGTCAGGGACACAGGTTTCTTCTATCATGTGGTTCTACCTCCCCTGTAGTATTGTGATCAGCTACTCCCCACCACATCTTCATTCAAGCAAGTTGGCCAGGAAAAAGAAGGGACAGGGAGGTCAGGCCCCGCTCTTTAAGGGCATAACCCAAAAGTAGCACATATCACTTCTGTTCATATCCCATTGGCCACAACTTCACGAAGGGACCCCATCTGGCTGCAGAGGAGGCTGGAAGATGTATCTTTAGCTGGGTATCCCTGAATGCAGCCAAAAATTCTAATTCTGGGGAAGAAATGGAGAATGGATATTTGAAGACATGCATAGCCTCATTTTCAAATCACTTCTGCATGTTGGGCAGTGGTGGTCCCCTTCTTCTCCAAGTTTATGATGTACAGTTTAGCCATCTCAGTGGAAGGACAGACCCCTCTCTCAATAGTTCCAGCAGAAGTCCCAGTGCTGACTCCTATTGTCCCACTTGCCCATCCCTAAACCAGAGAGGCCAGGAGATCTGGGGTACTCTGATTTGTCTCTGACTAGCCAGACCTGGGGCATGTGCCCAGAGCTGAAGCCAGAGGGTAGGTATATCACCTAAGAAACTCCACAGACAGAAAAGTGGGGCTAATTCCCCAAAGAAACTGGAAGGCTGTTACCAGAAGACCACAGATGGATGGACCCTCGGCAGGCAAAGCGTCCTCTTCAAGGCTTTTCAGCTCCTTGAATCCATTCAGAGGTAAAGAAAAGCCCCCCAGGGGATGACTGACATAGTTGTCTTGGAGATTCGAGGCCACCAGATATGAAAAAATGATTGGTTAAACCCTAGTGGTGCCTGGGTGGCTCAGTCAGTGAAGCTTCTGACTTTGGCTCAGGTTATGACCTCACGGTTCGTGAGTTCAGGCTCCACATCAGGCTCTGCACTGGTGGTGTGGTGCCTGCTTGGGATTCTCCTTCTCTCTCTGTCTCTGTCTCTCTCTGTCTCTCTCTCTGCCCCTTTCCCACTTGCACTCTCACTCTTAAAATAAATACATAAACTTTAAACCCCAAACCAACCCCAGGAACGAATACATGCCCACACTGGGAGGAACAGGGCATAAGAGCTGCTACAGCTGCCATTGCATGTCTTCTCCACGCTAGTACTGACACTGGCCACACATCAGAACTTGCAGAGAGCTCTTAAGGTTTTTCACACACCAGTGAAAAAAGCAGAGGGATTGTCCTAGATTGAAACAGACTTTAAAACCACAATAGTCAAACGCAGTACACAAAGCTTGATTATATACTAGTTGAAAAAGAACAGTTAATAGATATTTGGGGGACAATTGGAGAAATTCATCAAACTTTTTTTATTTTTGCCCATCTCAGAGAAAAACAGCTCAATGGATTTTTAATTTGTATTTGTCTTGTTAGGAGGTTGAGCATCTTTTCAAATGCCTAAGAAACATTTCTTTTTGTATTAACTTTCTGAATAGCTTTGTTCATGTTTTTATATTGACTTATTGGTCTTTTTCTTTTTTATTTCTAGGAACTCTTTATATATTAAGGAACTTAGTCCTTCATGATATGTTTTATACATGTGCTTAGCTGTTTGTTGATACGGTTTTTTGAATTTGATTTTGAGTCTCTCTCTCTCTGCAGGTTGGGGAGGCACTGATCCTGCCTGGCTGCCAGGAACGCTGTATATGCTTGCATGGTCAAGGCCTCCAGTGCCAGCCCTTTTCCTGCCCACAGGGCACAGACTGCATCCTGGATGGGGGTGTGCGGTGGTGTGAGCCCAGGGAGGGTGCTACATGTCACCTAGTGCCCGGGGGCCTCTTCACCACCTTTGATGGCTTCAGTGGGCTCACACCCATTCCTGTTATGTCCTGTGCCTATGAGCTAGCCACATTGGTGGGTTCCAGGCCCCAGGATCCTGACTGGTTCCATGTCATTGCTGACTTCCTGCCCTGTCCTAGCTGCACTGCTCTCAAACCACGAGTGATCATCGGCTTCAGGGATGGCTGTGCAGCTGTGGGAACCAATCAGGAAATATGGGTAAGGGACTTCCTCAGTAAGAGCCAAGACTTTTTTATAATCTGGCACTGATCTCTGGGGCCTTTTGATCCCTTATTGGCATTCCATACCCTTTTAACATAGAACTCTCCCATCACTGTGCTCTCACATTGACCTCCATTGGCTAAATGTCCTTGTCATGCTCTCCCATGACACTCTCTAGACCCTATATAAACTTCACCCTGGACTTCTCAGGACCCACTGATCCCCCACATTGACTCAAGTGCTGCTCAACTCCTGGGAACTACTGACTAAGTAGTCATCTACCACTCCTCCTCCTCCTCCTCCTCCTCCTCCTCCTCCTCCTCCTCCTCCTCCTCCTCAGAGCTCTAATAGGGGAAGCCCAGGTAGCCCAGGTAGAGTGATCAGGGCTGGAATGGGAGAAGCACAGGTAGACTGTGGAAGCCCAGAGGAGATACTCTCAGTTTAGGAGACCAGTGAAGGCTTTCTGGAGAAGGTGACAAATGAGCTGAGACCTGATTTTAAGCTTGGGAAGAGAACAGAACAAGGCCAGGAAAACAGAGGGAGCATATTTGGGGAATAGTGGTGAAAATGAACTGTTGAGTTTAAAATAGCCCACTAAATGTCTTTGGACTTAGGGCCAGGGAGGTTGTTAGTGACTTCAGAAATCACAGCAGGGGGACAGCTCCTGGACTGCAGGTTTGAGGAATGGAGACAGCAGGAATAGACAGCTCTCTTGACAAGTTGTACATACAAACTGCCCTTGTCAAACAGGTGAGAGTAGAGATAAGCCAGGAAGAGGCAGAGGCCTTTTAAAACTGGTTTACCATTACGATTTTGTGATGGGAAAAACCCTGGGATGTTTAAGTGCTGATGGGAAGGAGCCAGACAAGGAGAGGTTGGAGATCAGTGGGGAGAGAGGCCAGAGTAGAGAGCACCTGGCTCCCCCAAGACACGTGGAAACCAGAGAGCAGCAGAACTGGAATCTGGCAGGCAAAATGGATACTGTTTATAAGTAAGAGGGAAACAAACCTGAAACCCCATGTTGAGAAATAGAAGGAGGCTACTGGTAAGAGTGGGAGGATGGTCCAGCAAGAGAGCAGCTAGGATTCTGCCACAACCCAGCTCAACCACAAAAAGTGGTGATTAGAACAGTACCACATAGGGTAGCTGTGAGGATTCATGCAGAGTGTGTGGCATATACGAAGTGCTCAGTAAATACAAGCTCTTGGGGCGCCTGGCTGACTCCGTTGGAAGAGCTTAAGACTTGACCTTGGGGTTGTGAGTTGAGCCCCAGGTTGAGTGTACAGAGTACTTAAAAGTAAATAAACTTAAGGGGCGTCTGGGTGGCTCAGTTGGTTAAGCATCTGACTCTTGATTTCGGCTCAGGTCATGATCTCACAGTTTGTGGAACTGAGCCCCAAGTAGGGCTCTGCGCCGACAGCATGGAGCCTGCTTGGGATTCTCTCTCTCCCTCCCTCTCTGCCCCTCCCCAGTTCTCTCTCTCTCTCTCTCTCAAATATAAACATTAAAAAAGTAAATAAACAAACAAAAATTTTTTAAACTGTGATTGCAGGTGCCTGGGTGGCTCAGTCAGTTAAACATCCTACTTTGGTTCAGGTCATGATTTCACAGTTCATGAGTTCGAGCCCTGTGTCAGGCTCTGTGTGTATAGGTCTGAGCCTGGGGACTGCTTCGGATTCTGTGTCTCCCTCTCTCTGCTCCTCCCCTGCTCATGCTGTCTCTGTCTCTCAAAAATAAGTAAACGTTAAAAAAAAAGCTGTGATTGCTCTTGCGGTCACTTTTATATTATTAATGGAGAGGCAATATATATAACAGAATGGTCAAGAACACAGGTCATGAAATCACACCCCTTTGGTTCAAAATTGGCTCTGCCACTTACCAGCTATGTGAACTTGGGCAAGCTACGTTACTTCTCTGGGCCTCAGTTTCCTAATCAGTAAAACCAAGAGGCACCTAGGCATACAGTACTGATCTACCCTGTCAGAGTGTTGGTGAGGATTTAGTATCATTTATAAATTTAATATCATTAATTACATAATTAAGTTAGGTGACAGTATATTAAAATATCAATTACATTACATAATGCAATATACTGTCATACATTATCTTATAAAATAAATAACCAAATATGAAAGCACTTGGAATAGTGCCTGGCACAGAGTATGTGTAAACGGTTATTAGATTATGAAGACACAGGTGAGAGAAATGCAACTGGTTCTAGAGACTTTGTTCTCTAAAGCTCCCTTTTAGGAAAGAGTTTATTATGGAAAAATTCAAGCATCACAAAAGGAGAGAATGGTGTGTCATGAAACTCTGTTACAGTTACAAATGTTTTGCCATTTTTGCTTTCATCTTTTCCTCCCACTCGTTGCTTTGTTCGTGCTGGAGGATTTGAAAGCAAATACCAGACCTTTTTCCTCTAGCAAAGACCTGGGTATGCCATTTTGATAGAGACACCGGGCAGGATTCACAGTAGTTTCAGAGCCCCGCCTCCGGATTCGGGCCCTAATCCCCGCCCTTCACTCGCCTCCTCTCTGCAGGTGAATGGACAACCCGCCAGCCTCCCGGCGCAAGTGTGCAGGGGCGTGGTCGTACGCTGGGCTGAGGGCTCCCGAGTTGTTATCATCGAGCGGTCCCCCATGCTGCGGGTGCTGGTGGGGCCCGAGGGGGCTGTGTCCCTACGGGCCTCCCCCGCGCTACGAGGACGCCTCCGGGCAGCCTGCGGGAACTACAACGGAATTGCAGCCGACGACCTGATACTCCCAGGAGGACTCCGGGATGCCAGCCTAGTCGACGTGTTCCAGGCGTGCCGGGTTCGGGGCTTCAATAACTGGTGAGAACTTTACCTTCTCCTGCCCGGGGACCTGACTTCTCTCGGCAGAGGGCGCGACCAGCGCAACTCCCTGCGCCACAGGCTGCCTTTGGGGACTTGGAGCCCATACCCTCTCTCTGATGGTCTTCCCACAGCACGGAGAAGCTTGTTATTCCACCGTCTCTCTGATGGTCTTCCCACAGCACGGAGAAGCTTGTTATTCCAGCCGTGACCCAACACTTCACCGTCTGACGCCGTACCTCAGCGTGTGCCCAGGGCTGGGACTCGTCCACCCCCCCACTCCCCCACCCTCGACGCACACCTGCCCTGGGGATGGGAACCCACGGACCTTCCTGAGACTGTTTTAATAAATAATTTATGACCAAAACCTGCTTGTGCCTATATCTTCTACTTCCCAGTGCCCCCGCGCCCTGGGGAACACAAAAGGTCCCAACCTATAGTTCTCGTTTCCCAAGACTCAGGAGTTAGGTCGGGACCCTGACCCCTTCCGACCCAAAACCTGAGTCCGAGCACCTAGCTCCCTCCTCCTTCGGTTCCCCAGAACTGCATTCCCCTCAAGGACACAGATTCCCTCTGGGGCAGGCGGGGGAACCTGCAGCTCCGCCCCTGACCCACAATATTGTGACGTAACTGCATCGACAGCCAATCCGGCTCGACGGCGCCAGCTAGCCAAGGCAGGAAGCGGAAGTTTTGAAGCGCGCGGGCCGGAAGTGCCTGTTGCCTTGCACTGCCGTATCTCGCAAAGGTGCTGCTGCGCCACTGTTCTTCGGGCATTACCTGTGTGCGCCCTGGGCCCAGCTGCGGCCATGAGCCGGCCCAGCCGGCTGCAGAGGCAAATTCTGAGCTTGTACCGCGAGCTTCTGCGCGCCGGGCGTGGGAAGCCTGGCGCCGAGGCGCGGGTGCGGGCTGAGTTCCGGCAGCATGCTTGCCTGCCACGCTCCGACGTGCTGCGTATCGAGTACCTGTACCGCCGCGGGCGGCGCCAGCTGCAGCTGCTACGGTCGGGCCACGCCACTGCCATGGGTGCGTTCGTGCGTCAGCGGAGTCCAACCCAGGAGTCCAGCGGCGCGGGGGCGCCAGGGACCCAGCCTGACAATGGCGATGGTCCGAGGAATCCCCTTGACGGAATGAGGTCACCGGAGACACCCCCCGATGGACGGTGACAGGACGAGGAGCTTACCCGATAGCGCAGGGGAACCGGGGGCCCGCCTGACTGTGTGGGGGGACTAGGGAACCTGCCTCATGAAACGTGAAAGGTCTTAAGACCAGCTCAATGGATTGGGGAATCAGAGAGCCCTCCTAGCGACGTGGGGTGCCAGCGACCCCCGTGATAGATGGTGAGAGATGACCGACCTTGCACGATCCATGATAACGGGTCGAACTCTCATGAGGGTTTGGAGTGGCTTGGTTGCCGGCTGGCTGAACTGTGTCAAGCTGAGAGCTCCTTACCCTAAAGCATGGGGAACCAAGACGCCTGCCGTCGGACGGAAAGAGACACCTTTCTATTTACCTCTGGCTCCCCTCTCCTGTATTTAACTCTGAGAAGAGCAGACTTGTTGCTGAGAATTTTGGGAAGATACCCTGATGGATGGTGAGAAGCCCCGAATCCCCTTTGGAAAACTTTCTTCCCGTTAATTGTGGCAGACTAGGACCTGTGGGGAAGGGGCTGGGGTATCTTACCCCATCTGATCAACTGAAGACCCGTCAAGACCTATACTTGATGGTTCTGAGGGGAAACCCTGACTCCTGGGCCCTTCTCCTCCCAGGACTGTTGAACAAAAGGAATAAAATTGGAGATGTGATTACTTCCCTCTTGGTGGTCTTAAAGAGTTCATGTATTTGGGGATTTTTTTTAAAGGCCCTCACAAACCAAGAAGTGACCCTCTGGGAGGGGGAGGTATGGGGAGCTATCTGTTCATCTCTGGAGCCCTCTGGACTAGCAGATTGGTTGAAGCAGCCTAGTTCATGCCCCTGGGCAGATCCATTGACCCACCGTGGTTTGACCCCAAAGAAACCCCAGTTGAGTCCTTAATAGAAGATAGGGAGGTAAGAGAGAAAATGGTGGAGCTCAGGAGGCCTGCCTGGAAACCCCTGAGGCAGTACTGGGGACCTCAAACCTGGCTGAAGAGTCCAGCCTCAGCTACAAGCTAGGACTTTGGTCAGCAACGACCAGGTGTTGGGGAGGAGAGGTAGACCCATAGGCCCCAGGCGTACCTCCTCCCATATCTCTGTCCATTACATCTCTCCCGCATCACTCACCTCTCCCTCTTGCTCACTCCTGGATCCAAGATCTTGAGCCCTAAGAAGCTCCAGGATGGGAGCTTCTGGCAGGGCTGCAGGCAGTGAGCAAGTTCCCACTGGGGCTGGGTGACCTGGGTCAGGAGGGGAGATGTTCTACCCAGGTACTACAGATGAACAGAATCTGTGTGGTAGAGGGAGTGAGGGAGGCAGTTGTAGGTCAGTGGTGATTGAGAGCATGGACTCTGGAACTGGAATGCTTTCATTTGGATCCCAGCTCCAACATGTACTACTAATTACATGATCATGGACCTGTGATTTAACCTCTTCGTGCCTCAGTACCCTTATCTGTGAAATGGGCATCATAATAGGGCCTTCCTCATGTGGCAGTTATAATAGAGTGAATTAAATACATGGTGTGGCACCAGATGATGTCCCAATTCTGTGACCCTCTCGCCTACTTGAGTCCACGTGGAGCTAAAGAAGAGGAGGCTTCCTGCTGTGAGCTCCTGTGTCTGCTCCTTTGCATGAGGGCTTTCTGGGAGTTACAGAATGTGGGTTAATGCGCTTGGGAGCAATCCTTAGCCTGGGGGGACAGCAGTCAGTGGATGAGTGCTCCAGCCTGCCTGTTGTCTGATGAGACAAGTGCAGGTCTATTCCCCAAGGTTCCTCAGAGACCCCCTGTGGGACTGAGCCCCAGTCGCCCACAGCAGTTACCTTTTCATGAGCACCTTTTCTGGCATTTCCCCTGGCCTGTCTCACTCTCCCCACTCCCTAACTCCTGTCTCCTGGGATCATATCCCAAAAAAACCTCCCCCAAGCCTTTGACTCAGAGTGTGCCAATGTTTACACACGGTTGATACTCTCTGTATTTGTGCTGTGTTTTTTTTTACTCTGCTAAGGCCCAGGGTCAATGCTTCTCAATCCCTTAGCCCTGTCAAACAGAAACCTCCTGGTCTAAGAAAATTGCGATAAAGGACTTACGGGGCTTGGGGTAATTTGGAGTATGTATTGTGGATTAATAACAGAATTGAATGGAGTGGCTAAATTTCCTGATTCTGATAACTACACTAGTGTAAGAGAATGCTCTTGTTCCTAAGAACTATACACCAGGGGTGCCTGGGTGAGTTGGTTGAGTGTCCAACTCTGGACTTCAGCTCAGGTCAGATCCAGGGTCATGCGATCAGGCCCTAAGTTGGGGGCCCATGTTGATTATGGAGCCTGCTTAAGATTCTCTCTCTCCCTCTGCCCCTCTCCTCAGCTGTGCTCTCTCTCAAATAAAAAAAATAAAAAAAAAAATTAAAAAGAACTATACACCAAAGTATTTAGGAGTAAAGAGTATCAATCATGTCTACAGTGTGCTTTCAAAATGTTCCAAAATATATGCACATACATAAATATACTAGCAAGAGTGTAAATGGTGAAGCACATGGGGTAAAATGTTAGCCGTGAATCTGGGTGAAGGGTATATGGGAGTTTGATGTGCTAGTCTTAAAACTTTTCAGTAATTTGAAACAAAAAGTTACATAAACACAAAGGCCAATGATCATTTACATTTGGGCACCAGAGATCTTTACACACAGGGCACATTTTTACAGCAGATTTGAAAACAGTAAAGCCTGTTATTTTGAAACTATAAATCTCTTATGCATAGTTTAAAGGCATAGCTTCACAGATCTAGCAATCAATTACAATTTCTGGATTTTTTTACCTTTTAAAAAAATTTTTAATTGCTTATTTTTGAGAGAGAGAGAGAGAGAGAGAGAGAGAGAGAGAATCTGAAGCAGACTCCAGGCTCTGAGCTATCAGCATAGAGCCTGATGCAGGGCTCTAACTCACAAGCCATGAGATCGTGACCTGAGCCAAAGTCAGATGCTTAACCGACTGAGCCACACAGGTGGCTTTTGTGAAATAATATCTGGTTCCCCTTACAGATTCTGATCTCCATTCTATTGGGAACGACAGTTCACTAGAATATGTTCTTGTCTTGGGTCACACACTCAGCTGTCCCAAGGGGCCGAGCCAGTGACCAGGCATGTGAAGTGACCTAGTGTGGCCTTAGGGAAGCGTGGGAAACTCACAGTACCTGATGAGGAGCCACTAGCCACACCAGCAAGTTACCACCATAATTATTTTTTTTTCCCACGTTTTTATTTTATTTTTGGGACAGAGAGAGACAGAGCATGAACGGGGGAGGGGCAGAGAGAGAGGGAGACACAGAATCGGAAACAGGCTCCAGGCTCTGAGCCATCAGCCCAGAGCCTGACGCGGGGCTCGAACTCACGGACCGTGAGATCGTGACCTGGCTGAAGTCGGACGCGTAACCGACTGCGCCACCCAGGCGCCCCAATTATTTTTTTTTTAAGACTTTATTTTTGAGTAGTCTTTACACTCAATGTGGGGCTCGAGTTCATAACCCCTCAAGAGTCGCATGCTCTACCAACTGAGCCAGCCAGGCATCTTGTGTTACCACCACTCTTGCTCAGCTTCCTCCCTCATACAGCACTGGACAATTCTGGATATGAATTATGTGGAAGAATGACTAGGGTTTTCTTTACAGCAGTAAAAGTATTGTGATTTGATTTTAAAACAATCCTGATCTGGCAGTACTCCATGAATCGCTCGTGAGTAAAAGGATATGATGTCTAGAATTGGCTTCAAAGTAATCTAGAGAGAGGGGAGTGGGTGCCTGGGAGGATTGGCCCTGAGTTGATAATAACTGGAGCTGGTGATGAGCCCATGAGGACTTGTAATGCTGTCCCTTCTCTTTTTGTACAAGTTCAAAAAGTATCAGAATTGAAGTTGGGAAAACAAACTCCAGTGGTCCCCAGCCTAACTCGCATCAGAAGTCCTCTCTGTGATCCACAAGGTCTCACCTGATCTGGCCCTGTCACTTCTCTCACCTCATCTTCTCCCACGCTCCCCTCCACCACTCATGTTCCAAACACACTGGCCTTCCCACATGCCAGACACACTTCTATCTCTGGGCCTTTGCACTTTCCCCCTCTACCTATTATGATAACTGAGAGCAACCTGGGGCTTGAGCATTTGAAATGTGATTAGGGACTAGGGAGTTTTAAAATTTTTAAATAAATTTTGGGGCACCTGTGTGGCTCGGTTGAGCATCTGACTTTGGCTCAGGTCATGATCTCACAGTTTGTGAGTTCGAGCCCCATGTTGGGATCTGTGCTGACAGCTCAGAGCCTGGAGCCTGCTTTGGATTCTGTGTCTCCCTCTCTCTCCGCCCCTCCCCTGCTTGTGCTCTGTCTCTCTCTCAAAAATAAATAAACATTTAAAAATTTTTTAAATAATAATAAGGATAAAAATTGTATAAATTTTAAATAATTGAAATGTAAAAACGAGCAGTGTAAAATGTTTTTTCCATTAAACACAATTTTATAGTTTTGGTAGCATTACCAGATTTCAAAGACTTCGTAAGAAAAAAGAATTATAAAATATCACATTATTTCTATATTGGTTACATATTATAATGATAGTATTTTGGGTCTATAAGGTTAAACAGTAAAAACTCAATTATTAAAATTAATTTTACCTGTTTCTACTGTTGACTATTAGAAAGTTTAAAATTAAAGCAGCTACTGAGGATGAGACCTCTGCCCAAATGCCAAAGATTTATCATTGTCGATATGTCAGGAGGGAATGTTGAGACCACTTTTTAGGCAACAGGCTTGAGCAGTTGAGTGAAGCAAAAGGGCCCACAGTGACCACCAAACTGAATGCAGTCTCATTAAGTGACCTGCCTAGAAATAATCATAGGCCCTAACTGACCAATGGGCTTCCCTCAACCAGGCACAGTTACCAAAAGAAGGAAAATTCCTTATGTCACCATACTTCATCACTCCGCCCTGTAACTATAGTCCCTCACCACCGTCTCATGGCAGACAGTCTCTCCTTTGCTGTCCTGGCCGCTGCTCCCTTGCAGTGTATTCAATAAACATATCTCCTGTAAAAAATAATAATAATAAAATAAAATTGTATTTGTGCCTCATGTTACATCTGTCTTGGACAGCATTACTCTAGGAGTCCTGTGGCTTGTTTCCTCACTACAATTTGCTCTAATCACTTAATTACAACATAATGACATAATTATCTCCCTGATGCCTTCCTCAACCACCCTAATTAAATTGTACCCCCTTTCTCTTTGGCCGCTTTAGTTTTCTCCTTAGCACTTAATCACCAACTGACCTATTACAGATTTTACCTAGTTTTTAAAATTAATGTATTATTATTATTTAGTATTATTATTTATTACAGATTTTATTTACTGTTGATCTCCCCTATAGAATGTTGGCCCCATGGGGACAAGAATTTTCACCTGTTTTGTTCACTGCCCTGGTCCTGCTCTTTGACCAGGAACTGACTCAAAGCAGACACTCAGTTTTGAATGAATGAATGAGTGGTACAGATTTGTCCCATTACTTGGTCAGTTGGGTCAGAATTGCCAAGACTCTGGTGGCCCTATTTATGGTGACGCCAGGGAGACCATGCCTTTTCTTGGTTGGGGACAGCGTGTTGGTGTGGACAATATGCACTTGATGTGAAAACAGGTCAGGTTTGTGTTCTGGTTTTTCCAGAATCTGCTGCTTCCTGCCCCTCTCCCTCAGTGTCCATTCCCCCTTCTGGACAGCTCCTTGGTTTTCTTTGGAGACTCACTTCTCCCCCATTTTCAGCGCATATGATTCAGGGAGGGCTGACAGCAGCCCCCAGGAAAGCAGGTGACACGGGCCAGGGGAGCCAGCTTTGGGCTGTAAGGGAAGAGTGATTGTCCTGTTGGCCGCTGAATTGGTGGGATGTATGCTTAGAGGTTTTGAGGGGCCCTCTGGCTACTGCTAGGTAAGAGTGAAGCCAAACCAGAGGAAAGAACTGGGAGAGGTATCATTTGTGCCCCTGGATCCAGCTGTCCTTGCAGCCTGAACTTTTCAGTTATCCCCCCCAAATCAGTTCCCATTCCACTTAAATCAGTGGGAATTGGGCTTCAGCCTCTTGTTCCCTGTGTGGCCTTGGGCCAGGGCTTCCCCTTTATAGCCTCAGCTTCCATTCTATTAAGTGGGGACACACCATTGGGTGGTTGTGAGCATTAAGGTTGTGTGTTTAGTGTACATCCAGGAGCCTAGCAAGGGTTCTGCCTCTGTTCTTGAGTCTAGTCCTGTTCTACCTCTTGTCCTGATAGCATAAACTCTGAGAAGATGAGCTTTGACACCTGAGGCTGGGGACTAGACTACAGGACTGAGCCCTGACAATTCAGCTTGGTGTCATCAGGACCCTGGGGAAGGGGGGTTTCATAATCCTACACCAGGGATGGCCCAGCCTGGGAGCCCGCCATGTACAATGTTTGAATGGAGAACCTGTACGGATGCACCTGTGCCTCTTTGCCTGAGGAGCCTTGACAGGCAGAAGAGACTGGAAGTGGTGGGGAGTTAACATCTCCAGGAACAGTCCTTAACCAATGAGAGATGGAAGCTGGTACATAAATGGCACAACTTCTTCACCCTTTTGGTGGACCAACTTTGAGTGTGTCCCACACAGTCTCGCAGAGGTCCCTAGTGGGATGGTGCCCCAGATGCCCAGAGCAGCAACCAACTCATTAACTCCCTTCCCTGGCTCACTTTCCCACTCCCCTATCAGTCTGCCTAGGGGTCACCTCCCTAATAAACTACTTGTGCTTGAATCTTTGCCTCGGGGCCTGGGGGACCCCAATCCAAGATGGGCTGATTCAGTTCTGTGTTGTACACTCAAAGCAAAGAGATCTGTGGAGGGGGCTGCCCAGACACCAGGACTGCATCCCAAATTCTGAATTTTCAAACACCCAGTATCCTCTGAATGTTTGTGCCTCCCTCAAGATTCATATGTTGAAGTCCTAATACCCCAATGTGATAGTATTAGGAGGTGAGGCCTTTGGGAAATAATTATGTTGTGACAGTGAATTCCTCATAAAAGGAATTTGGAATCCTTATAAAAGAGAGCTCCCTGCCCCTACTGTCATGTGAGGACATAGTGAGAAGGTGACCATCTATGAGGCAGAAAGCAGGCCCTCATCAGATAGCCACTCTGCTGGCACCTTGATCTTGGACTTCCCAGCCTCCAGAACTGTGAGAAATAAACTTCATTGTTTATAAGCCACCCAGTCTGTTATTTTGTTATAGCAGACCAAATGGACTAAGACACATCCTTGGACATTGACCATTTATTACATATGTCTGGGCCATGTTCTCAGATTGGGGGGGGACCATTGACATAGCTGAGCACCAGATGAGGTGTCCTGGCCAGTCGGGCAGGAAAGCAGCAGGACCCCCCTGATGGTGGCAGGAGCAATGTGGCACCCACGAGGAGAAGGAAGAGGAGAATGAGGAAGGTCAGGGACCACCTGGATGCAGGAGGAGGGGCTCTGTGAAGAGAAATGCAATGTTGAAACTATGGTGCGCTGCCACTATGAGCCCCTGTACCCCCCACCCCCAGACCCATCTCCCGAGCATCTCACCCAGGGTCTACCTCCAACATCACATCCTGCAGGTTGGGAGATGCCTGCTTCTTGTCCTAAGGGGAGACAGCAGCCAGCAGCAGAATGGATGGAAGGGACACTTACTCTGGACTCTTCCTTCCTACCATAAGACCTATGGGGCTGAGTTTATTTTTCCTTCTTTCCTGGAACCCTCCCAACCCTCTCCAGTGTAGTGGATATCTGTGCCTGCCCTCCATCCAGTCTTCCTTCTCCTGGTAACAGTGGCTCAATTTGTACAGTGGGTGGAGGGTATCATGCCGCCCCCCTCTCAGCCCTTCAGGTTCTTATGTGGCTGACCCCACACGTCTCCACTTCCGCGACTGGGCATGTGAGCCAGATCTGGCCAATGAGAGCACTCCATCAGTTTGGCCACTGTGATTGGTTCAGGGTGCAGGCCATGACCCAAGCTGGGCAAGTGGGAGGCAGCCCTGGGACATTGCTGCCAGCAGGTAGGTGGCACCCTGCTTCTCCTTGGGTGGGCATACCAGTGGGAAATGAGTATTCAGTATTGGGCGAGTATTGGGGTGGCCATTTGCTGAGAAAGAATCCACCTTGGAGAAGTAGAGCCTGAAAGAGGAAAGGACTGAGCCCTGACAGCATTTGAGATCTCTTCAGCAGCACCCAGCCTTGTCAGTTACATAAAAAAAATTACATCCCCTTTTTTGTGTAATTCCATTTGGGTTAGGTTTCTGTCACTTGCCATCAAAATTCCAGAGTGATAAAGCTGGCTGAGGACCATCTCACCTGAGGCTTCCGGAGCAGGGAGCGTCTTCTCTGACCTGCTAAGTGTTTCCGGTGGCTGAAGCCCGACATGAGCATGTCCTGTGGGGAAATAAAGGTGTGGGAGTTCTCAGAGAACTAGTGACAGACACAAAGTTGGGCAAAGGCCAAGACGGGGTTGTCACAGAGGTGAGATTCTGGGGGAAGAAAAATATCTCAGGGAGAGACAAGAGAGGGACAGAGCTGAAGAAACCGAGAAGAGACATTACTTATTCATTCACTCAACAAATATTTAATGAGGGTCCATTACATGCCGGCACTGTTCTAGAATCTGAGGATGTGGTGGGCATGCAAATAGGAAAAGTCCTGGCATCCACGGAGCTTATATTCTAGCAAAGAGAGACTGTACATTAATAAATAAATGTATGATGTCAAGATGTGGTAAGTGCTGTTAGAAAATAAAGAGGTTAAGGAGTGATAATGTTTGGAGATCAGGACAGGCCTCTCTGAAGAGGTGAGATTTGGGGAGAGACGGGAATGAAGTGAGGAAGTGAGCTGGGCATGTGTCTGGGGGCTTTGAAATAGGAGTGAATTTGGAATGTTTGAAAAACCAGGAGGCTGAGATAGAGGAAGACACAGAGACCGAGAGAGGCAGGGGGAGGGAGGGAGGACAGCACTGAGACAGCAAGAAAGAGACACTGAGAGAGATAGAGGGAGACACAGAGCCACCGAGACCCCCTTGAAAGGGAAGTACCCTACTAGGAGGCACACAGAGGTATCCCAAGGGTGCCTGTGGAGGAAGGGTGTCCCCTACCTGCTCTCACCTCAAGGCCTTGTCCCCTGCCCTCGGGGACCCTGTGGCCACATAGCTCACAGGGAGCTCCTGGTGTCCAGGCTGTCTTTCGCCCCAAGGGCCTGAGGCCTCCAACATCCCCTGCCGGGTCCCACTCCAACTCTGCAGGAGTAGGGAGGCCACTGGGTGCCCAGGGCCCCCAGGCCCCACCAGGTCCTGGCCCGTCCAAGTCCCCCTCAACTTCCAAGTCCTGGTCCAGTGTACTGGCCTCCTCGAACACCTGGTCAGAGGACAGAGTCATGGGGGTTGTGGAATTGGTACCTTGGGTACCTTGGGTACCTTGGGTACCTTGACTGCCAGGGTGGGCCATACCAGGCTGTAGCTGACCAGCTGGGCCTGCAGCCACCACAGCCGCCGAAAGATGCCGTCTCGGTGGGCTCTGAGGGCCCTCAGGACCTGCTCCAGGGATGCCCGGGCCTGAGGCTCACTCCGCTGTGCCAGCCCCTCACCGAATGCCAGCAGTGCATCTACACGCTCAGCTGCTCCACATAGGTCTGCCTGTAGGGCCTGGGGACAGAAGGTTGGACACCACTCCCACCCCCCACCCACACACCAGGAGCACCAGAGATCAGCTACCTGGAGTTATATCCCTTCCCCCTTCTCTTACCCAGACACCTAGAACATGGAGTAAACGCATTTCCCATCCCAGGAAGCTGGTACCCATTCCTGAGGCCCCGCCCACCCTCCCATACCGTTGCCTCCCACTGCCCACCTGCAGCTGGACCATCCCGCTCTGGGCTGATGCCCAGGGCCCCAAGCCTTGCTCTAGGTCCTGCAGCCGGAGGCCCAGCCCCAACAGGCAAAGGGATAGGCTGTCCTGCTCAGCCTCCAATACTTCCTGGCCAGAGATGAGGTGCTGGGGAACACAGGGGACTGAGTCAGGGTCGGCGGGCCAACCCAGACCTTGCCCCCACTTCCATTGCCACCCCTCTTCTGCAGGCTCCTTCTGTAGCAGAGTCCATCTCTGGTCTGCACCAGGGCTGCTCCCACCTGGAGTCCTTCCCAGTGGAGCCGGGCCTGGACAGAATCTCCAGGTTTTCAAGGCTCCTAGAAGTGTGGACATAAGGGGCCTGGGGGTCTGAACAGAGAGTGGGTGATGGGGCTGGATATCCCCACAAGGAATGGGACCGCACCAGGGTCAATGACGAGCTAATTCTCTCCCAGTTGGCAAAATAATAAAGATTTTCTATAGTGATTGGTAAAGAATCATTTTCTGGAGTGTCCCTCCCCCCACAGATGCCCAACACTTTTCCAGAATCATCACCTCATGCCCAGTTTGGAGGCCAAATTCTGGGGGAGAGGAGGTGGGGGCTGGCACAAGGGGGCCTGGATCACCTCAGCTCACCTCACGGTGTCTGCCCCCAGCTGGGTCCTCACTGGAAGAGGGTGCTGGCAATCTCAGGGGACCAGCAGCAGGCTCAGTGCCCCTCAGCCCACCCTGGAAGTGTTCGGGAGGGTCCAAGGAGTCTTGCCCCAGTTTCTGGGCCTGTTCTGGTCTGGGAGGTAGGAGGCATTGACAGGCCTCTGGCTGAGCCTAGGTGTCCATCATCCACCCTACCCTACCCCTGTCCTTAGGTGCCCCTCCCATGTCCCTAGGTGATCATAGCCATAGTACCTTCCCCCCTCAAAATGCCCCTGCTACTGCCCCCACCCTTTTGGGACCTAAGTTCCAAAGGCCAGCCCCTACCTGATTCTCTTCTCTCCAGATGCAGGGCAGATGGTGCATCTAGCAATGTCCAGTTCCCTAGGGGCTCCAGCGGGGTAGTTGAGGGGCTCTGAGGGGAATCTAGGGCCCAGAGGTGGGGGGAGGGCCATAGCTGGGAGCCTGGAGACAGAGAGTCAGTGAGGATCCCCAGTGAGAGCTCTTTTCCTGGCCAGGGGCATCCCCCCAGACCTCCTCAGCAGGACTCACACAGGCCTGAGGCAGCCAGAGGCCTGGGGGCAGGCTCAGCTCCACCTCCTCACTAGCAGAACTGGACTCAGGTCATTTGATGCCCGGCTCAGGTGGCTGCAGCACCACTTAACTCCTTCTTCCCTAGCCTGCCAGTTAGCGGAACCTCCCAGGTTCACCCCACTCATCCCACCTAAGGGGTTTCCCGATACAACCCTGACCCCTCATGAGCCATGGATTCTGCCCCACTCAGGGACCTGTACATCTGACCCCAGGACCCACACCATCCAAGGTCCCAGACACCGTACCCCTCAGGAACCCGCATCTGCCCCCCCCCCCCACTCCATCCAAAACCAAAGAAAGATATTTGTTGGTTTATTTGAAATGGGGCCTCTTCCTGTAGTTCCCACAAAGTTACTGGGAAAATAAATAACCCGGGGGGGGGGGGAGGGGGGAGCCATCTCTGTCCCAGGGTTCCAAGGTCACAGGGTCACAGCTGTCAGGAGGTGGAGAGCCCGGGAATGTGAGCAGGGCAGGCGCCTGGCATCACTTGCTGAGCAGGAGGCCGGTGCGCAGCACGCGGGGCACGCGGCGGATAGTCAGCGAGACGCGCGTGCCACGGACCAGGCTGGCTCCCGGCCGTGCAGACGGGCAGGCGGCGGCGTTGGGTGGCAGGGAGGTGGCGTCCAGCGCATCTACTCGGGCAGCTGCTATGCCGTGAAGGAGGCGCGTGTAGGCGGTGCCACGGAGCACCAGGAGGCTGCGCGGTTCCAGCAACAGCGAGGTGGTCGGTCGGGGCGGGGACCGGGGCTGCGGGACGGGATGAAGCTCAGCGGGCCCCTCAGAAGTCAAGGGGGGTAGTGGTCAGCAGAATTTAATGGTCAGCGGGGCAAGGGTCAGCGAGTTCCCAGGGGCAAAGGCTGAGGGGCAAGTGTGCTCCCACGGAGCTTTGCAGGGGAAATCCTACCGGTCTCAGTTGGGGGGGGGGGGGGGGGGGGGAGGGGGGGCGGGGGGCGGGGAGCGAGGGCAAGCAGTCTCTTGGGAGGGGGCAGGAACGTGGTTGCAGATGGGGGTGTCTAAGGGAATTGCAGCTGGGATCCCCAAGGGGTTGGGACTTAGACCCAGGGATCTGCAGTCCTAGGAAACGGTGGAACTGGACTGAGGGCTTGGCTGAAGCTAGGAAGGGCGGGGGTTGGGTAGTAACAGTGAGGTGGTGAGGAGCCAGTATGGTCTGGGCCTGTCTGCAGACATCGGGATGCTTGAGGACACCCACACACTGGAAGGGAATGTCAGCCTACCCAAGAGCATGTAGGGCTAAAAGGAGCAGCTAGGGGAGTTTCTGTGAACCATGAGGTATCAGAAATGCCATCACTGAGAGAAAGGTCAGGGAAGCCACTGTCACGAGCAACCCCCACAGAAGGGAGTCAGTATATCTGGGGGGTCCTTGAGCAATGAGTCATGGGTTGAGGCCCCAAGAAGAATCTGATGGTGTCCCTCAAGGCAGATCAACACTATTGGAGTGGCAGAGAAGTCTTGTGTTGGGGAGCCTTGTGCAGCGGGCAAAGAGAGGATGTCTAAGAGGATGTCAGGAACAAGCATGAGTAAATGGTGTTGGGGTATCCAAGGATATGGGTGTCTGTTGAGAGTATTTGGGAGTCTTACACAGGTTATATGGACCTTGGGCCATTGGAGCACTCTGAACATGTGGGGCCAGGGGGTCTGTGGGGCATCAGGGCATTCATTTAGCAGGTGAGGCTACTGGGGTGTCTATAGATATCATTTCTAGGGCACCCTGCAAATGGATGGGTCTGAAGTCTGGGAGGATATGGGTGTACTCCTTGAGGGGACTGGGGAAGGTGTCTGGGAGAGTATCAGGGGTACCCTGGAAGCAGGAGGGACTGGGGCTTCTTGGAGGATATGGGATGTCAGAATGCCCACGAGTGGCTGGGGCAGTGTCTCAGGGCCCACCTGCTCTGCGGGGTCATCGTCCTTTGGCTGCCGCGGCTCGTAGAGGTCCAGCATGGTGTGGGAGCCCAGGCTGATGGTGCTGACGGTCGGGTAGTAGAGTGGCCCGTCCTCGTGGGGCTGGGGAGTGGGCACCAGGGCTGGACAGGGCAGGAGTCCACACCCCCCCCCACCCTCTGGGGCTCAAGGAGGGCACCCCAGCTTGGGATGAGGTGGTGAATGCCTGGTTGGGGTATGTGGCTGCTGAATGAGTAGAGGTGGGTCAACATAAGGCCCTGCCTCATGGTGTATCGGAAGTCTGGGGGTCGGGGTGAAGGTGTGTGGTTACCATGATGCCCTCCCCAGGCAGATACTGGTTCACAAGGACGTGGTTGGCTGGGAGACCTCCAAAAAGGCTGAGGTCAGATACTTTGTCCACGTAGCGCTGGAGCCACAGAGGCAGCCGCTCAGGAACCATCCCCCGGGGATGGGGGAGCCCACCTGGGAGAGGGGAATGGGGTCCTGAGGACACCCAACCAAGGAGCCCTGGCACCTGGAACCCCCATTAGGGATATTCCTGTGGTTGGCAGTACTCTGACCCTTGGGAACCTGTGACTCCGGAGATCACTACCCCACGCCTCCAAGGCTTCCTGACTTCTCCAAACCCCTGGACACTTTGAGATAACCCAACTTATCAGGAAATCCCTAACCTCTCAGAACCTCCACTCACCCCTCAGAATCCTCCTGGCCCTGGGAACCCCTTGAGCCCTCATGGACCCACCCAGTGTCTTGACTATCCAATCTGAGTCACCTGCCCCAGCCTATATCCCCAAATCACCCATGCCCCCAAGGCAGGGACACTTACCCCAATTCTGTAACTTCCTCCCAGAGAGCTGGGTCCACTTTGGCTTTGGGGCATTGAAGACCTAGGAGGTGGGGAGGGGATCAGTCCTTTTTCAGGACCACCCTCACTGATCCTACCACCCAGTTCAACACAGGGCCCTCTACTTGGGGTGGAAATGGGTCATCTCAGAATCTCTGGGATTATTCTCTGAGATAGAATGTTCCCAGGATTGTGTTGTTTGACCTCTACCCTGTGTCTACCAGGGTCAAGGAAAGGAACCAGAGCTACACAATCGTGGTCTGAAACTACTCAGAGCTCTGGGCTGGACTGGACTTTTTTAACCCAGTAAAGTGTGCACTCTGTAATTTCCTGAATCCTGGGCTATCTCAGCACAGCCCGACTTCTGGAACCTCTTTGCTCCTATCACCTGAGGGAGAAAATGTGCTAAGCTGGGCTGTCTCAGCCCAGAGAGTACTTTGAAAATGCTCCACTGCCGGGTGTCTGGGTAGCTCAGTTGGTTAAGTGTCTTGGCTCTTGATCTCGGCTCACATCATGATCTCACAGCTCTTGGGATTGAGCCTCGCTTCAGGCTCAGTGCTGAAGAGCGGAGCCTGTTTGGGATTCTCTCACTCCTTATCTCTCTGCCCCTCCCCCACTCACACCTCTCTCTCTCTCTCTCTCTCTCTCTCTCTCTCTATCTCAAAATAAGAAAGAAGGGCGCCTGAGTGGCTCAGTCGGTTAAATGTCTGACTTCGGTTCAGGTCATGATCTAGCAGTTTGTGAGTTAGAGCCCCGCCTTGGGCTCTGTGCTGACAGCTCAGAACCTGGAGCCTGCTTTGGATTCTGTGTCTCCCTCTCTCTCTGCCCCTCCCCTGCTCACAATCCATCTCTCTGTCTCTCAGAAATGAATAAATGTTTAAAAAAAGGAAGGATGGAAGGGAAAGAAAGAAAGAAAACTCTCCACAGCCAAGATCCCAAAGGTCTAGAACAGGCAATCTCCAAGAAATATGTACTCTATTCGATAATCTCATTCCTTTCACAGTTATGGGGCTGGAAGGGGCTATCTCAGCACAAGAGTCTGTGTTCTGTAGCTCACTTATTCCTGGGACTCAAACTAGACAACACTAGTTGAGATAGCACAGGGAAGATCTGTGCTCTACGACTAATGGTCTGAGACTCCAAAGGATCTGAGCTTTTTAAATTCTTCTCTCCCTAAACCTTAAGGATAGAATACAGAATACTGGGCTATCTCAGCACAGGTGATTTGAGCTTAGTAAACTTATTCCCAAGACTCAGGGTGTATGCTGAGCCATCTCAGCAGAGGGAAGAGTTTTTACTCTGTAGCATTCTGATGCCTGAGTTATGTCAGCACAGAAATCTGAAACTGCAAATTCCTAATTCCCCAAACCTCAAGGGCCTGAACCGGGCTATCTCAGCCTATGTTTATAACCTCCTTTTCTCTATGATAGCAGGATTGGGCTATCTCAGCACAGAGGGTATAAGACTTGTAACCGTGTTTCTAGCATAATGAATCTGATCTCAGTAACATCTGTTTTGAAGGCTGCACTGGGCTATCCCAGCACCGGGAGTCTGAGCTGCATAAGAACTACCTTCCTCAGAATCAGTTTGGTTTCTTCTAAGCTTCCTGGGAAAAGCTCTGACACACCCCAGCAGGTCCTGAGAGAGGAAAAGGGAAGATGAGGGATGGGTGCTGGATGTCACTCTCCTTCCTGCCAGGATCTTTACTGTAGCCTTAGGGACTCTCACACAGAACCTGGAGATTGGGGAGGGATCTGGGAAGGAGGGAAAAACAAACCGGAAGGGTGTTGGGGTTACCTGTCGAAGCAAATACTCCTCCTCTTCCTTGGAGATGAAGTCAGGGACATAGTAGATTACAGGTGGTGCCTAGGATAGAGATCCCCATGAAGGTGTGGCCCTTCAACCTACACCGGGGCTCTAGTATCACTGAGCAGACCCTCCCTCTGAAGGGTCTCCAGATGTTCCCAAACAGGCTAGGGCCTGAAGTCAAAGGACTAATGCCCATTTTGGGGGTGGGAAGTGGGGGTGAGGGTGGGGCTGTACCCTGAGGGTAAGAATGAATTTGGAGGAAAGGAGCAGTCCAAGCCCACAAACTCAGGAGTCGGCCTGCCTATCCCCACTCTATCCCCCACCCTCTAGTCCCCACCTTCACCCTCTGCACCCCCAGTCTGACAACCTGTTCCACCCTGAATGGTTCCAGGGCTGGGACCCTGGCATCCTGATCCTCCATGGACACCAACTCCATGCACCCAGTCCTGTGGGGGAGGGGAGGATACTCTGAAGTCACCAAGCCTCCCACCCTCAGGCTATGATCCCATTTTCTGCTTTATCAAGGGCCAGGGCCTCACCTTGGCCCTACAGTGAAACTCACTTGGTTTCTAAAACCTGAGTCCTCAGCATCTCAAAAGCCACCCGGACACAGTGAGTACCCAGAACACTGCCCCAAACTTCACCCACAATGGCCCACGAAACTACACATTTCTGCCCCTTAAGCC